TAAAACAGGCATTGGATATATATCAAAGCAGAAACTAACAGAGTACAAAGACAATTAAGGAAACGAATCGCCCATTTTTTAAGAAACCTTTTTTAAAAACCTGGAAGAAAAAAAGGTGTGATCTATGGGCATGCACATTGGTCCATCCAGGATTATCACATGTATTTGTTGGGTCACTCTGGTACCACCTCTGGGCTAACTGGTTTTCTGCTTGGTTTTGAACAAGATACCCAAGAAAGATTATCACATATACTGTTAAATTTTTGAAGAAATTTTCAGGATAAACAGTTATCTAGCAGGAATAGTAGTGATTACAATTTAAACTGAATCTGCATCTCCTGATATTTTCTGATAGATAGTTTTAATGCTTTTTTCTAAGTCAGATACCTGGGCTCTTGGAGTGTTCCATATTATTAACAGTGTAATCACAATAACTTTAAAAAAAGCTCCATTTTGTTTGGAGTCATAGTATAGTACATCTCTCTTTCTTTTTGCTTGATAATTATTTATTGTTGTTTCAGTTTTAGATGTAATCAAGTCAGCACATTACAGCTGCATGGAACAGTTGTCAAGCAAAAAAGGTATACTATGCTATGCTGTGCTATATACTTTAGGATACTTTCTTTTAGTAGTTCTACATAGGATCCAAGTTATTTGGACCAATGCCATCCACAATAGGACAAAAGTATCATCTTTTATCCAAAAATCACATACTGGGGTACTTGTGATTATGAGCAACATTTAACACACATAAAATGCCTCAACAAAAAGTAACCCTACTCAAAAAGCATATAAAATGTTATAAAATGAAAGAACAAACAAACAAACAAACAAACAAAAAGCTCTAAATNAAAAATATCATCTTTTATCCAAAAATCACATACTGGGGTACTTGTGATTATGAGCAACATTTAACACACATAAAATGCCTCAACAAAAAGTAACCCTACTCAAAAAGCATATAAAATGTTATAAAATGAAAGAACAAACAAACAAACAAACAAACAAAAAGCTCTAAATTCTTTGGTAATCAACAGCGGTAATACAGAAAACTTACAAATTACTAAAGCCTAATACAAAAGACTGAAGATCTCATCACTGTCTCAAATCAACATTTCAAATTCTAAAGAAAAGCCCTATTAACTCAATTTTTGACTAATTACCAGGTGTTCAGCATTTGCAAACTCATATACAAGTAGCACAACCAGTTTTAAAAGGCAGTTTTAAAAGGCAGGTTCTTCAATTCTCTTTCAGCATTCAACATAAGGGGGACAACATCACATACATAAAGTTTTGATAATTCTAAAAGTTACAAAATATTCCAACAGGTTCCACCCTGGGTTTCAGAGGTCCCTTGGAGACTCCCCTCTCCTTCAATGCCTGGAAACTGGAGGTAGTCTGATAGTATAGAGACCAGTAGCAAGGGACCTATGGAACTCAGGGTGTTATGATCTGGCCCCTGAATCAGTATTCATTACTGTTCTGGAAACTTGTTTTGTACATGGAAGTGGAAGACTAAATGAAGGAATAAGTGTCAGAAATCCAAAAGAAACTTAGGTGATTATTTGGCAAGTCCTAAGCCTGGAACCTGATATGCACACCATAACTGGGGATTTAGTTTCCATAACTAATGAAAGAAGCTTATTTTAATTTTTGTAATCTTAATAATGTCAAAACAGTATTCTTGGTTCTTCAATATTTAAACAATACCAAAACTGTCCTTTTGATATTTACATATCTTTTTAAGGACAATAACATATTTGGTGTACAATGGAATTGATTCTACAACTAATGACAAAGCTGTATGGAATTTGTTGGGTTTGCAAAGTACAGTGGAATAGCACCCGGAATATCAGCTGATAAAAATAGAGTGTTCTCAAATATGAGAAGTCGCATACATTAAGGAGAGCCATTCACTCAGCAAAAAAATGCTCATCTCGAACTTCAGGAATTATTTCATGTTGCAGTAATGTCTTGTAATGCTCAGGTCTAAATCTCTGTAGGTAGGCACTCAGTTTGCCTGGAAGCTTCTTGCTTTCTCCTACACCTGAAATGAAACACAATTTCTGATTGGTGAATTCTGTCCTCTTATTCTTAGATCTCTTGCATCATCTCCAAATAGTGACATTTAATATATATACTGTAATTCCTACTCTGAACAATTTGATCAAAACCAATTTTTTTTACCTTCAGAAGAAAAGACTTGTCCACTTCAACCCCCCCTACCCACTAATCTACCCCATTACCCCCCTCCCCCCTGCTTCCCCTTGTTATCCTCTTACTCGTCGATTGTCATGCCTACCAGGTACCGTGTTTCAGAGGTCACTCGTCTGTTTTATCAGCATGTCGCAGCTGTTTCCTCGTGACAAGTGACCTATGAATCTCAGAGTGAACTAGTATCTTAAAGGGGTTTAATAAAACAGGTTTCTTTATTCAAATTGTTAGATAAAAAGGCAACAACAAGCACTGTTTACCAAAAATCATGCCAGGTTAACAGACAACTCCTTCCTCTTCTAAATCCAAAATAAATTGACATAAATTGACATAATTTATAAAAATTTTAATTTATTTTTATAAATTTTTTTCTTGGAGTGCTGTGTTCTTAAAACATCAAGTTATTCAAAGAGGCCAAAAAAGAGTCCTCTGTGCACACAATACTGACAAAAAACTTTATTTTCCCAAAAAGGTTGTACTTCTGAATTGTAATACTGTTTCATTAAGAAATATTATGGCAAATTTAATACATCTGGTAAAGCTATAAATGCAATTAATTAGAGATATTAGATAAAAGTGTTGGCAAAATAAGTATAGGTGAATAGTGCACAGCAATGTCAAAGCCCCATGCCAGTGATGTGTCTGTACATAAAAACATATGTTAAAATCTACAGATCACCTCAGATCTATGGAGAGATTTCATCATCATCATCACAGTCTTCACTGATCTGATATGGATACAGACTCTCTCCTGTCCACAGTGCCTGGAAGCCTGCAATAAATATACAACCAATGACACATAGCTTTACACTAGGGCACCATTTCCTACAACCAATGACACACACCTTTACATCCAAGGGCCTGTTTCTCAAAATGTTAAAATTCAAAATTTGGATAAGCAATGATGCTACGCGTATGGATGTTTGCTGACTAATTTGATGTGACTTACAGTGTTGTCAAAGCCCACATAGATATGTCATCTGCACTTGTTAAAGGCTCTTACACCAGTAACCCAATGTTAACTTTACATAGTCAGCCATATGTATATAAATTAAGCCATCTAAGTAAAGTGGATGGAGGCCTTCTTTTGGGTCTTCTGGAAGACAGTTAGAATTTTTTAGTTAAGATGGTCAAAAATGGAGGATGGCTGAACAAAGATAATTTGGAAAACTATCAGAAAATATCTCTGGACCTGTCCCAGGAGTGTAAAGCCCATAACCATCCAGTTTTTTTTTGTGAAACAGACACAAAACAACAAAAAAAAAAGGGACATTTGATAACATGGAGAACAAATATAACACAGTTAACTCTGGGGGAGGGTGAGGTGGAGTGGGATATATTATNAACAAAAAAAAAAAAAAAAAAAAAAAAAAAAAAAAAAAAAGGGACATTTGATAACATGGAGAACAAATATAACACAGTTAACTCTGGGGGAGGGTGAGGTGGAGTGGGATAAATTGTATCTAAACCTAATTAAAAGAACAACTAATGTCACTATAAGGACATGATGCTTAAATGTGCATTTAACAACTTTTTGTGTAAGTTTTGTAAATTTTTATTATTAACCTGCCTTGCCACAAGTCACCACATTTATGCAAACAAATTTGGTTTAACTTAATGCACACGCTAATTAAATGTTTCAGATGACAGAATTAATATAGCTGCAAGCTCTCAGAAACATGTTTAGTGGTTTTTAAAATGATGATTCAAAACCAGCACTCATGCAGTTAAAAACTCCTGCAATCAAATACACACACAAACACACACACACACACACACACACACACACACACACACGNAAAAGTATCATCTTTTATCCAAAAATCACATACTGGGGTACTTGTGATTATGAGCAACATTTAACACACATAAAATGCCTCAACAAAAAGTAGCCCTACTCAAAAAGCATATAAAATGTTATAAAATGAAAGAACAAACAAACAAACAAACAAACAAACAAACAAACAAACAAAAAGCTCTAAATTCTTTGGTAATCAACAACGGTAATACAGAAAACTTACAAATTACTAAAGCCTAATACAAAAGACTGAAGATCTCATCACTGTCTCAAATCAACATTACAAATTCTAAAGAAAAGCCCTATTAACTCAATTTTTGACTAATTACCAGGAGTTCAGCATTTGCAAACTCATATACAAGTAGCACAACCAGTTTTAAAAGGCAGTTTTAAAAGGCAGAGTCTTCAACTCCCTTTCAGCATTCAACATAAGGGGAACTGAACAACATCACATACATAAAGTTTTGATAATTCTAAAAGTTACAAAATATTCCAACAGGTTCCACCCTGGGTTTCAGAGGTCCCTTGGAGACTCCCCTCTCCTTTAATGCCTGGAAACTGGAGGTAGTCTGATAGTATAGAGACCAGTAGCAAGGGACCTATGGAACTCAGGGTGTTATGATCTGGCCCCTGAATCAGTATTCATTACTGTTCTGGAAACTTGTTTTGTACATGGAAGTGGAAGACTAAATAAAGGAATAGGTGTCAGAAATCTTAAAGAAACTTAGGTGATTATTTGGCAAGTCCTAAGCCTGGAACCTGATATGCACACTATAACTGGGGACTTAGTTTCCATAACTAATGAAAGAAGCTTATTTTAATTTTTGTAATCTTAATAATGTCAAAACAGTATTCTTGGTTCTTCAATATTTAAACAATACCAAAACTGTCCTTTTGGTATTAACATATCTTTTTAAGGACAATAACATATTTGGTGTACAATGGAATTGATTCTACAACTAATGACAAAACTGTATGGAACTTGTTGGGTTTGCAAAGTACAGTGGAATAGCACCCGGAATATCAGCTGATAAAAATAGAGTGTTCTCAAATATGAGAAGTCGCATACATTAAGGAGAGCCATTCACTCAGCAAAAAAAATGCTCATCTCGAACTTCAGGAATAATTTCATGTTGCAGTAATGTCTTGTAATGCTCAGGTCTAAATCTCTGTAGGTAGGCACTCAGTTTGCCTGGAAGCTTCTTGCTTTCTCCTACACCTGAAATGAAACACAATTTCTGATTGGTGAATTCTGTCCTCTTATTCTTAGATCTCTTGCATCATCTCCAAATAGTGACATTTAATATATATAATTCCTACTCTGAACAATTTCATCAGAAACCAATTTTTTTTTACCTTCAGAAGAAAAGACCTGGTGCACTTCAACCCCCCTACCCACCAACCTACCCCATTACCCCACCCCCTGCTTCCCCTTGTTATCCTCTTTGCTTCTACTCGTCGATTGTCATGCTTACTAGGTACCCTGTGTTTCAGAGGTCACTCGCCTGTTTTATCAGCATGTCTCAGCTGTTTCCCCGCAACAAGTGACCTATGAATGATTCATCTCAGAGTGAACTAAAGTATCTTAAAGGGATATAATAAAACAGGATTCTTTATTCAAAATTGTTAGATAAAAAGGCAACAACAAGCACTGTTTACCAAAAATCATGCCAGGTTACCAGACAACTCCTTCCTCTTCTAAATCCAAAATAAATTGACATAAATTGACATAATTTATAAAATTTTTAATTTATTTTTATAAATTTTTTTCTTGGAGGGCTGTGTTCTTAAAACATCAGGTTATTCAAAGCTGGCCAAAAAAGAGTCCTCTGTGCACACAATACTGACAAAAAACTTTATTTTCCCAAAAAGGTTGTACTTCTGAATTGTAATACTGTTTCATTAAGAAATATTATGGCAAATTTAATACATCTGGTAAAGCTATAAATGCAATTAATTAGTGATATTAGATAAAAGTGTTGGCAAAATAAGTATAGGTGAATAGTGCACAGCAATGTCAAAGCCCCATGCCAGTGATGTGTCTGTACATAAAAACATATGTTAAAATCTACAGATCACCTCAGATCTATGGAGAGATTTCATCATCATCATCACAGTCTTCACTGATCTGATATGGATACAGACTCTCTCCTGTCCACAGTGCCTGGAAGCCTGCAATAAATATACAACCAATGACACATAGCTTTACACTAGGGCACCATTTCCTACAACCAATGACACACACCTTTACATCCAAGGGCCTGTTTCACAAAATGTCAAAATTCAAAATTTGGATAAGCAATGATGCTACGCGTATGGATGTTTGCTGACTAATTTGATGTGACTTACAGTGTTGTCAAAGCCCACATAGATATGTCATCTGCACTTGTTAAAGGCTCTTACACCAGTAACCCAATGTTAACTTTACATTGTCAGCCACATGTATATAAATTAAGCCATCTAAGTAAAGTGGATGGAGGCCTTCTTTTGGAAGACGGTTAGAATTTTTTAGTTAAGATGGTCAAAAATGGAGGCTGGCTGAACAAAGATAATTTGGAAAACTATCAGAAAATATCTCTGGACCTGTCCCAGGAGTGTAAAGCCCATAACCATCCAGTTTTTTTTGTGAAACAGACACAAAACAACAAAAAAAAAAGGGACATTTGATAACATGGAGAACAAATATAACACAGTTAACTCTGGGGGAGGGTGAGGTGGAGTGGGATATATTATATCTAAACCTAATTAAAAGAACAGCAAATGTCACTATAAGGACATGATGCTAAAATGTGCATTAGACAACTTTTTGTTTAAGTTTTGTTAATTTTTAAATTTTTATTATTAACCTGCCTTGCCACAAGTCACCACATTTATGCAAACAAATTTGGTTTAACTTAATGCACACGCTAATTACATGTTTCAGATGACAGAATTAATATAGCTGCAAGCTTTCAGAAACATGTTTAGTGGTTTTTAAAATGATGATTCAAAACCAGCACTCATGCAGTTAAAAACTCCTGCAATCAAATACACACACAAACACACAGACACACACACACACACACATGCTTCAGACAAGGTTGTGTAACATTGGTCGCCACACAGGAAGAAGACATCTGATGGCATATGTAAATACACATGTGACACAGAAGATAAAAATAATCACTGTAGAGTTAGGCCAGCCAAATTGATATATTGGTTAACAACATGCAGACAGAATTTGCAAAAAGTGCCATTCTGGCAAAATAGAAGATGAAATCCATTTCCTAGTGTCATGCCCCCTTTATACAGACCTCCAATATGATCTTTATTCAGTATACAAAAAACAACATAGTTTGAGCATCTTACCAGAATGGATAAATTTAAAACACTAATGACTGGTAAGAAGAATGAACATATTATTGCTCTTGCCAAATATTTATGGTTAGCCTTCCAAAAAAGGGACTGTGCTGCACCCATTACCAGTTGAGTAGGTAGAGCCATTTGGGCTCTGCCAAATATGTTTTGTATTTTTCATACAAGGAGTCGTACAATATCACTATTTAACATAATTCATATTTATTTATATTTGCATTCCTTTTGTACATTTTCATCTATCCATGTAGATGCATACGTTACAATGAATAAAGTATATATAATTTAGCATGTTAGCAACTATATTATAGGTTTGGTGTAGTTTTTTTTTAATTGTTTTTTAAATTTTGATTCTATTTTTTTTTTCTTTGTAAGGAAATTTCAAATTCAAAGTGTGGATGATTTTTCAAGCATGAAAACATCACTAATGTTCACTGGGGTCAATTGTAAATTTTTCAACTTGCCAAATATGCATTATTTTCCATTTAAAGAAAAAAAAAAAAGGTGCAAAAAAGTCTCATTTTGTCAAAATCAGGGTCAGTAGGATTTGTTAACAAATTTGTCAGTTTTGTCTACCCTAATATATATTTTTTGCAATGTGCATAGGAAATATCAACTGTTGTTACTATTATTTATCACTTTTGTTGAGACTTAAAGACAGATGCCATTTTCACTTCTTTATTTACTTAGGGTTCCATAAAAAATGATAAAACTAGTAAACACTGTATGTTTGCCTCCTCAACACTTCCCTCATTGATACTCCTTGTACGTAGTACTATATCACTACCACAAACAAAAATCGAAATTTTAATACGTATGAACATGAGGCGAAACCACACTTTTTGACCACACACTGCCAATTTTCCTTAATCAAAAGTAACACCAGTTTCATCCATTATGCCCATCAACAATGACAACGACAATCATCGTTTGCAAAAAATTAGAAAAAGAAATAATGAAAAAAAAAATTCTAAAAAGCTTGAATAATTCTGATGGCAAAAGATATATCTGCCAACTCTGCAGACTAATAAACGAAGATCCTTTGTTAGGATGTGGTTAATTAATCAGCGAGGTAAGAAAAACCTCAACTGGCAAGCAATGCTTTGGTATATAAATGGGCGTTTTGCTTGAATCTTTTCATTCTTCTTATAAGTAACTGAAAATAAACCATTTTAGTTCATTGAAACCAGTAAAAGATAGTAGCTTAACAGACTACAAGACTACAAGAGGAGACACCATTTTGGTAAAGGTAAGTTTTGTAAGGCTATATGTTGATATGAAGATCATAAGAGTTACTGGATTTCAGTAGTTTTTCTGTGGATTTTCTATTGGTACATAGTTAATGTGCAAATATGTAGCTTGCAATTGGTGCAAACCCACATAATTTTTCAGTCTTTTTACTTTTCTTTATCCCTTTATTTCCGACTCAAGCAGTTTTTGATTTTTGTCCCTTTTTTAAACCAGTAGCAAACTAGTGAAAAATACTTCAATATATATCGTCTTCAAAAAATGAATGTCTAAAAGACAATAGCAACAATTTAGTAGGCTTGCAAACATGGTATCCACCGTTTCCTAAAATGGTTCTCTGCAATTAAATGATATCACCTTATTTAAGGAAATCTCACATGTTAAAGTATATATCAAAAATGGATATAAACTGATAACGATTTATTTGACTGCAATCAAATAAGAGAGGTACTCAGCATTTCAGCAGAGTGAGTGCAGTTGACATTTAAGATTTTAACATTGTTAGGAAGAGACTAAATGGCTGCTGTCCATGAAAGTAATCCGGTATACAACGTAATCAGCCCTTTTAAAAATTAAAAAAAAAAAAAAAAAAAAAAAAAAAAAAAAAAAAAAAAAAAAAAAACAATGAGAATTTCTTCAATCAACTGTTGGATTCAATTTTGGAAATCCAAGTTACCTTCTTCAGACTATCTTGGGGGAAGAGGACAAATAAATAAACACCTGTTGTTGTAAAATTTCATGAACAACTTCACAGACACAGGTCTGATTTTGAGCTAAATTTAATTGAATATACTAAAACAATAGACTCTTCCCTTGGAGCTTCCCAACTTTACAATAATAATAATAATAATATTAATAATAATTATAATTGATTTCATTCTTATATTTTGTGTCGTTGGTTGCTCCTGCTAAGTCATTGCAAATTGTGTATTTGCTTCTAAGATATCGACGGCTTTCATTTTCTTAGCCAAAAAACATTCCTGCTCATTATACCTTGGCAATATTCAATCAGTGTTTATATTTTAATTTATCTGTTTGGTTTTACAGGTACTAAGATGCTAATAATCTTTTTTTTCTTGCTTTCTCTCTCTCCATATGAATCACTTCTAGTACCAACCTTTGATTGCAAGTTTATAGATGGCCTTATTACTGTATATATGGATTAAAGGTATCCAAAATGGGATTTTCCAACAAAATAGAATTTTTGTTGAGAAAAGCGAATTTTTCCAAATCAAGAATCATTGCTGCACTCATCACTGCACATAGATTTGATGTTTTGAACCATTTTCTATTAAAAAATTTAGTTCTTATAATGTTCTTTAGTTCCTATAATGTTTACAGTGCTATGTTATCATGAACATTTTAGAAGGAAGTATAGACATCCGGTCCTTTTATTTGAGAAGTTTTATCATTTATCTAAAGGTCTGCATTGAGAGAGATTCACAAATTTGCAGGAATATGTAGACCATAAAATATGGCTTTAGGGCATTTTCAAACTGAGATGGTACATGTATATCTGAAGAATCACACCATAAAAAAATGAAGAGAATGAAACTGTTGACAACTCACCTAGTGTTTTAGCCAACATATCAATCCGCGACAAAGCATCTGCAATTTTATTCTCCTCCAAAACCAACACTTCAATTTCTCCCACTCGGAAACCAAAGTCTGCCGTGTCTAAATCTACACTGAATTCATTCAACGAGTACGACTTCCTCTCAGTCTTAATGGTGGCAAACTGACCACACTGGGCACTGGTCAAAAACTCCTGCATGGAGCTGTCTGTGGGTATGGCTAACCCTAAGACAGCAGAGCACTTGGCTATGATCTCTGGAATTGTCACATGTTCTGCATACTGGCAAGTCACTTGACTAAGGTCATTAGTTGTGGGATTTTCTGGGGGGCACTTCAACTCCCACACCCCATCACGCTGGCGTAGCCAATGGTCACTCAGAGTCAAGGAGTACTGTGGAACATCGTAATATATGTCAGTGAATGTCTTCTGCTGGATGAGAGAGGCACCCTGTTCTTGTAATTTATCTTCTGTAGAGTCAGTGAAGGTGAACTTTCTCTCAACTTCAATAGTTGGTGGTGTATTTGGGAGGGGTTCTGTTTTAACATCACCTTGATTTGCCATGGCAACACAGAATTAGTGGTTGGTCTGGTTAATGACTGTGAGTACCAAGCTTGTATACATGTATGAGAACTAAGTTTGGTGAGCCTGGAAAAATGAATGAATAAATAAATGAAAGTTAAGGGTCGCAAGGTACTCCAACAGGCAAACTAATGGCTATACATCTTTTTGACTCATACAATATACAGAATTTAAATCCTAAACTAGATGGGGATTTTTTATGTTTTAATTTCAACATCACTGTATATTTTCAGTATCCTTTAATTTATACAATGAAAGCACTTAAAATTAAAACTGACATGAATTGTGAGGGTTAAATATGATATCCCACATAGGCCTTTTCACCACATTGTATTATTGGGATGTTACCCAAATTTAGGTTATGGACTATAATAATAATAATAATAATAATAATAATAATAATAATAATAATAATAATAAATGTTGTTTGATACTAGACCTTTTACCAAAGAATTTGATTTAAAAATTTCCCTAACGACATTCAGCCACCACATACAATGTACAGAATTTGGGGAAAAAACACAATATTGATGGCATTTTCACAAAGAATAACAATTATGAATATGACCCCCATACTTATTTTTCATTCTTTGTTTTTTTTTTTTTGTAATCAATACACACATACACAGACGAAAGAATACAGCCATACTCTATGCAAGTTGGCAGCAATACAATGATCAAAGTCCCAAGAGTAGCCATTACAAAGTGCATAACCTGCCAAGCAAAAGAACAAAATCAATAGACTACTATTACTACGACTGCACTGCCAGCTCCTACTACACACACTACTATGCAACTAACGCAGCCAGACTGGACGTTACCAAGATTTAATACTAAGACCATCTTGGGTCAAACAAGGTCAAACAAAGGTCAACAGAGGTCATGGTAAAGAGCGAAGCCATGGGGACAGCCAAAGGTTATGGTATATAGACTGTAACCTTAGCTGGATAAAAGGAGTGGTATAGTAGACTCTAGCCTTTGGGCAGACAGTTAAAAGTTGTGGTTCAGTGGGCTGTAGCCTTTGGGTAGACAGCTAAAAGTTGTGATATAGTGGACTGTAGCCTTTGGGCAGACAGTTAAAAGTTGTGGTATAGTGGGCTGTAGCCTTTGGGCAGACAGTTAAAAGCTCTGGTATAGTGGGCTGTAGCCTTTGGGCAGACAGGTANCCCTTTAAGGAAATCTCACATGTTAAAGTATATATCAAAAATGGATATAAACTGATAACGATTTATTTGACTGCAATCAAATAAGAGAGGTACTCAGCATTTCAGCAGAGTGAGTGCAGTTGACATTTAAGATTTTAACATTGTTAGGAAGAGACTAAATGGCTGCTGTCCATGAAAGTAATCCGGTATACAACGTAATCAGCCCTTTTAAAAATAAAAAAAAAAAAAAAAAAAAAAAAAAAACAATGAGAATTTCTTCAATCAACTGTTGGATTCAATTTTGGAAATCCAAGTTACCTTCTTTAGACTATCTTGGGGGAAGATGACAAATAAATAAACACCTGTTGTTGTAAAATTTCATGAACAACTTCACAGACACAGGTCTGATTTTGAGCTAAATTTAATTGAATATACTAAAACAATAGACTCTTCCCTTGGAGCTTCCCAACTTTACAATAATAATAATAATAATATTAATAATAATTATAATTGATTTCATTCTTATATTTTGTGTTGTTGGTTGCTCCTGCTAAGTCATTGCAAATTGTGTATTTGCTTCTAAGATATCGACGGCTTTTATTTTCTTAGCCAAAAAACATTCCTGCTCATTATACCTTGGCAATATTCAATCACTGTTTATATTTTAATTTATCTGTTTGGTTTTACAGGTACTAAGATGCTAATAATCTTTTTTTTTCTTGCTTTCTCTCTCTCCATATGAATCACTTCTAGTACCAACCTTTGATTGCAAGTTTATAGATGGCCTTATTACTGTATATATGGATTAAAGGTATCCAAAATGGGATTTTCCAACAAAATAGAATTTTTGTTGAGAAAAGTGAATTTTTCCAAATCAAGAATCATTGCTGCACTCATCACTGCACATAGATTTGATGTTTTGAACCATTTTCTATTAAAAAATTTAGTTCTTATAATGTTCTTTAGTTCCTATAATGTTTACAGTGCTATGTTATCATGAACATTATAGAAGTATAGACATCCGGTCCTTTTATTTGAGAAGTTTTATCATTTATCTAAAGGTCTGCATTGAGAGAGATTCACAAATTTGCAGGAATATGTAGACCATAAAATATGGCTTTAGGGCATTTTCAAACTGAGATGGTACATGTATATCTGAAGAATCACACCATAAAAAAATGAAGAGAATGAAACTGTTGATAACTCACCTAGTGTTTTAGCCAACATATCAATCCGCGACAAAGCATCGGCAACTTTATTCTCCTCCAAAACCAAAACTTCAATTTCTCCCACTCGGAAACCAAAGTCTGCCGTGTCTAAATCTACACTGAATTCATTCAACGAGTACGACTTCCTCTCAGTCTTAATGGTGGCAAACTGACCACACTGGGCACTGGTCAAAAACTCCTGCATGGAGCTGTCTGTGGGTATGGATAACCCTAAGACAGCAGAGCACTTGGCTATGATCTCTGGAATTGTCACATGTTCTGCATACTGGCAAGTCACTTGACTAAGGTCATTAGTTGTGGGATTTTCTGGGGGGCACTTCAACTCCCACACCCCATCACGCTGGCGTAGCCAATGGTCACTCAGAGTCAAGGAGTACTGTGGAACATCGTAATATATATCAGTGAATGTCTTCTGCTGGATGAGAGAGGCGCCCTGTTCTTGTAATTTATCTTCTGTGGAGTCAGTGAAGGTGAACTTCCTCTCAACTTCAATAGTAGGTGGTGCATTTGGGAGGGGTTCTGTTTTAGCATCACCCTGATTTGCCATGGCAACTCAGAATTAGTGGTTGGTCTGGTTAATGACTGTGAGTACCAAGCTTGTATATGCGAACTAAGTTTGGTGAGCCTGGAAAAAAATGAATGAATAAATAAATGAAAGTCAAGGGTCGCAAGGTACTCCAACAGGCAAACTAATGGCTATACATCTTTTTGACTCATACAATATACAGAATTTAAATACTGAACTAGATGGGGATTTTTTATGATTTAATTTCAACAGCACTGCATATTTTCAGTATCCTTTAATTTATACAATGAAAGCACTTAAAATTTAAACTGACATGAATTGTGAGGGTTAAATATGATATCCCACATAGGCCTTTTCACCCCATAATTGTATTATTGGGATGTTACCCAAATCTAGGTTATGGACTATAATAATAATAATAATAATAATAATAATAATAATAATAATAATAATAAATGTTGTTTGATACTAGACCTTTTACCAAAGAATTTGATGTAAAAATTTCCCTAACATTACATCTAAAATCAGTTACATGACATTCAGCCACCACATACAATGTACAGAATTTGGGGAAAATAAAACACAATATTGATGGCATTTTCACAAAGAATAAGAATTATGAATACGACCCCCCAAACTTATTTTTCATTCTTTGTTTTTTTTTTGTAATCAATACACACATACACAGACGAAAGAATACAGCCAGACTCTATGCAAGTTGGCAGCAATACAATGATCAAAGTCCCAAGAGTAGCCATTACAAAGTGCATAACCTGCCAAGCAAAAGAACAAAATCAATAGACTACTATTACTACGACTGCACTGCCAGCTCCTACTACACACACTACTATGCAACTAACGCAGCCAGACTGGACGTTACCAAGATTTAATACTAAGACCATCTTGGGTCAAACAAGGTCAAACAAAGGTCAACAGAGGTCATGGTAAAGAGCAAAGCCATGGAGACAGCCAAAGGTTATGGTATATAGACTGTATCCTTAGCTGGATAAAAGGAGTGGTATAGTAGACTCTAGCCTTGGGGCAGACAGTTAAAAGTTGTGGTTCAGTGGGCTGTAGCCTTTGGGCAGACAGGTAAAAGTTGTGATATAGTGGACTGTAACCTTTGGGCAGACAGGTAAAAGTTGTGGTATTGTGGGCTGTAGCCTTTGGGCTGACAGGTAAAAGTTGTGGTATAGTGGGCTGTAGCCATTGGGCTGACAGGTAAAAGTTACGGCATTGTGGGCTGTAGCCTTTGGACAGACAGGTAAAAGTTGTGGTTCAGTGGGCTGTAGCCTTTGGGTATACAGGTTAAAGTTGTGATACAGTGGGCTGTAGCCTTTGGGCAGACAGCGAAAAGTTGTGGTAAAGTGGGCTGTAGCCTTTGGGCAGACAGTTAAAAGCTGTGGTATAGTGGGCTGTAGCCTTTGGGCAGACAGCTAAAAGTTGTGATATAGTGGGCTGTAGCCTTTGGGCAGACAACTAAAAGTTGTGGTATAGTGGGCTGTAACCTTTGGGCAGACAGGTAAAGGTGTGATAAAGTGGGCTGTAACCTTTGGGCAGACAGTTAAAAGCTGTGGTATAGTGGGCTGTAGCCTTTGGGCAGACAGCTAAAAGTTGTGGTATAGTGGGCTGTAGCCTTTGGGCAGACAGGTAAAAGTTGTGGTAAAGTGGGCTGTAGCCTTTGGGCAGACAGGTAAAAGTTGTGGTATAGTGAGCTGTAGCCTTTGCACAGACAGGTTAAAGTTGTGGTATAGTGGATTGGGCTGACAGGTAAAAGTTGTGGTATAGTGGGCTGTAGCCATTGGGCTGACAGGTAAAAGTTACGGCATTGTGGGCTGTAGCCTTTGGACAGACAGGTAAAAGTTGTGGTATAGTGGAGTGTAGGCTATGAGCAGACAGGTTAAAGTTGTGGTATAGTGGGTTGTAGGTTATGAACAGATAGGTAAAAGTTATGGCATAGTGGGCTGTAGCCTTTGCATAGACAGGTAAAAGTTGTGGTATAGTGGGCTATAGCCTTTGGGCAGACAGGTAAAAGTTGTGGTATAGTGAGCTGTAGCCTTTGCACAGAGGTAAAAGTTGTGGTATAGTGGGCTGTGGGCTATGAGCAGACAGGTAAAAGTTGTGGTATTGTGGGCTGTAGCCAACTAGAGGTTGTGGGGCAGCAGG